TGTGAAAAAGTGAAAAAGCTAAAGGACAGTGTCCAAGTCCTAAGTTTGAGCTCTAATACTGACACACACATGTAAAGTATATGGGTTTAGTTTAACTGTTAAGCATAGTAGCTGGCACATAGTAATAATTGAAAAAAATGTTAATTTTTTATTACTGTTTTATATATGTCTTCTAGTTTCATGCTGTACTTAAACCTTCTTTACTCTAAAGTTTAAAATATTTTTTAATCAAACTAGAAACAGCAATGTGAGAAATATCATGTATATATTCTGATATTATTTGTTTTAAAGAAGAAAAATGATGTATAATTATTTGTTTATAATTATGTGATACACTGAAAAGATACCTGGTTATATTGGTTACCATAGGTAGGAGAACTAAGAGGAAGACTTTGGACTGTATATATCTTTTTGTTGTTGTTTCATTCTGGTTTTGGGGCTTGAACTCAGCATGAGTGCTGTCCCTGATCTTCTGTGCTCAAGGCTGGCACTCTACCTACCACTTTGATCCACGTCTCCATTTCTGGCTTTTTTGGACATAAGAGTCTCACAGATTTTCTTGCCATGGCTGGCTTTGAACCATGACCCTCAGATCTCAGCCTCCTGAGTAGCTAGGTTTATATATGTGAGCCTGGCTTGTATATCTTTGGATTACTTTTGTTGTAGTACTAATTTTTTTTTTGGTAGTATTGTTGTTTGTTCTGATCCTGGGGATTGAACTTGGGGCCTGGGTGCTGTCCCTGAGTTATTTTTGCTTCAGGCCAGCACCTGAGCTAGGATTACAGGTGCTTGGCGCGAGCGTGTGTGTGTGTGTGTGTGTGTGTGTACACGTGTGTACATGTGTGTGTGCGCGTGTGTGTGCATTTGTGTGTTTGAATTCAGGACCATATACTTGGGCTTTTTTCCACTGAAAGCTGCTGCTCTTCTACTTGAGCCACACCTCCAATTCTAGTACTGGAATTTTAAACTCAGAACCTTGGACCTGGTAGGCAGTTGCCCTACCAGCTTGAACCATGCCCTTAGCCCTTCTTGCTTTATCCTACTCTTCAGGTAAGGTCTCATGTTTTTTGCTCAGGTCCTGCCTCTTACTCCCTATTTCTGCCTCTCCAGTGGCTGGTTTTACAGATGTGTTCTATCGTATCCATCTCCTTTTTCTATTTTTAAAACAAGTTCCCAGATTTTACTTGCGTACTTTCATAGATTATCTTCTCCCTTCTTCTTCTCTCTCCTTTCTAGCAGTATTAGGGCTTGAACTCAGAATCTCATGCTCTGGCTCAGAGTTTTCTGTTCATGGTTGGTAGTCTACTGTTTAAGTTAAGCTTCTAATTTCTTATTTCTTGTTTTTTTTTTGGAGGGGGTGGGGGGTCTAGTTGTGGGGCCTGAACTCTGGGCCTGGTCATTGTCCCTCGAGAGCTCTTCAGCTCAAGGCTAGCACTCTACCACTTCAGCTTATGTGGTGCTTTTTGGCACTCTACCACTTTTTGCTTATGTGGTGCTGAGGAATTGAACCCAGGGCCTCATGCATGCAAGGCAAGCGCTGTACCACTGAGCCATCTTCCCAGCCCCTAATTTCTTATTTCTTATTCAAGAGATAGGAAATGAAGGGAGTTAATATTTTAGTGGGAGATAGAATATAGTCAAATGAAGTAACTGATTAAGATTAAGGTAGTCCTGGACTAGTTATGTGGTTTAGTGGTAAAGTGCTTGCCTAACATGGGTTTGACTCCTCAGTACCACATAAACAGAAAAAGCTGGAAGTGGTGCTGTGGCTCAAGTGGTAGAGTGCTAGCCTTGAGCAAAAGAAGCTCAGGGACAGTGCTCAGGCCCTGAGTGCAAGCCCCAGGAGTGTCAACAAAAAAAAAAATTAAGGTAGTCCTTTAAGGAACAAATAGAGCTATAGGACTGAGCAACTGGTGGAAACTTACCTTATAGGGTAATGGGAAAGACTGTTTTAGGAGATGACATTTGAACTGAGACCTTAAGTTTAAGGAGGAGCCAGCCACATGAATGAGCCAGGACAAGCATTCCAGGGGAGTGTAAAGAAGGACAAAGGCCAAAGGCTAGAAAGGACTTGGCAGCACTCTAGCACTGAAAGCAAGCTCATGTTGCTGGGCCCTAGTAAGCAGGCCAAAACAAATAGCACTTTGTGGGTCATCATAGGTAGCTTGGATTTTATTTGTAGTGCAAGGAAGCTTGAGCTTGAGGAGTCTTTTGCAAAACAGTGACACGTTCTGCTTTATGGTTTAAAAGGAACACTTGTCGTGTTGCTCGCTGCCCCCCTCCCCCCCCCCCCCCGTTGGTATTAGGGCTGAACTCTTGTCCCTGCGCTCTTTTTTTCTACCACTTTGAGCCACAGCTCTACTTCCCATTTTCTGGTGGCTAATTGGAGATAAGAGTCTCACAGACTTTCCTGTCCTGGCTGGCTTTGAACTGCAACCCTCAGATCTCAGCCTCCTGAGTGTTAGTTAAGATTACAGGTGTGTGAGCCACCAGCGTCTGGCCCAGTTAGGAGATTTTTAACAGTGAGAGATGAGTGGGGTACAAGTCTTGATGGAGAGGCCTGGGAGGCCTGAGTGTATAGAAGGAAGAACAATTGGGACTTCTGTTTTTTTTTGGGTTTTTTTGGTGGTCGTGGGGCTTGAACTCTGGACCTGAGTGCTGTCTTTCAGCTCAAGGTGAGCGCTCTACCGCTTGAGCCACAGTGCTGCTTCCCAATTGGGACTTCTTGTTGTAGTGGTATTTCTGAGAGCTAAGTCTTGTTAGCTGCTGCCAAGGCTATGGGAACACAGTAGTCCCAGCCCTCTCAGGTGTTTGGTAGTTTGGTTTTGACTAAGCAAAACTTGAAGTCAAATGATTTTTCCTAGTTTATTTTGATTTGTTTTTTTTTTTTTTTTGGGTCCGGTCATGGGGCCTGAACTCTGGGCCTGGGCGCTGTCCCTCTCAGCTCAAGGCTAGCGCTCTACCACTTGAGCCACAGCGCCACTTCTGGCTTTTTTCTTTTTGCTTATGTGGTGCTGAGGAATCGAACCCAGGGCTTCTGGCATGCAAGGCATGCACTCTACCACTGAGCCACCTTCCCAGCCCCTCCTAGTTTATTTTGATACAGGCCTTAGAAATAGTATGTTTATTAGGCTTTATTTTGCTCGTAACTTGTAATAGTCTGTTTCTGGGTAAAAGGGAAGTAGCAAAATAGAATCTTGAAGATAGATGTCCCTGAATTAAAAAAAAATTAGCTTATGGAAATTAATTTAGCCTCTCACAGTCTTAGAGATAATAAGGCAATGAAACTTTTAGGTGAGCTCATTTGTAGAAAGTCCAGTGACAGAAGGGTAACTGTTCATTGTCTTTCATAGACTATTATGTCTGTTAACTCAAAACAATTTTTGACTTCAGTACACTTTTCTCTCTCTCTCTCCCCCCTCACCCCCCCCCCCATCAGTCCTGGGACTTGAACTCAGGACTTGGGCACTATCCCTGAGCTGCTTTGCTCAAGCCTGGGGCTCTACCATTTTGAGCCACAGCTCTATTTCTGTCTTTTGGGTAGTTAATTGGAGATAAGAGTCTAATGGACTTTCTAGCCAGTGCTGGCTTTGAACGCAAAGATTGCAGCCTCATGAGTAATTAGGATTACAGGCAGGAGCCACCAGCACTTGGCAAGTTAAGTTTTATTTTTGGTAGTGCTGAGATTTGAACCTAGAGCTTCATGCTTGCCAGGCAGACATTCTACTACTTGAGACTTTTTATTTTAATTAAGGGGAGAATTGGAATAGCTGGTGAAGTGTTTTTTACTTCAGGTAATTGTTCTCACTATATGGTTACTCAGTATTTCCATTTTGGGAAAATTCCTTTCTCATTTTATATGAGACATATAAAGAACAGCATCATTTTCTTTCTTTCTTTTTTTTTGTTCTGGGGCTTGAACTCGGCCTGGGTATTGTCCCTCAGCTCTTCAGCTCAAGGCTAGTGTTCTACTGCTTGAGCCACAGTGCCACTTCCAGCTTTTTCTGCATATGTGGTGCTGAGGAATCGAACCCAGGGCCTCATGTGTGCAAGGCAAGCACTCTGCCACTGAACACCTTCCAAGCATCATTTTCTTTTAAGGATTATTTGTTGAATGAATGTACCCATACATCTCTCAGATAATTATATCCTAATTAAATTTTTTCCTTTTTCAATATCATATTTTATTGGGGCTAATGTAACAACTTGAAAGGCTTTTCTCTCTCTCGTTAAACCAAAAACCTCAGGTTTTAATGCAACCTTGAGCTTTTCTTTAGCCTCAGTTCATCTGTTGGTTTTCCAAGTAAGATGTCATAAGAGACTACAAATAAAATACCATGTTATTGGCATTCCCTCAGCATGTGTGTGTGTGTGTGTGTATAATTTTTTTTTTTGGCCAGTTGTGGGGCTTGAACTTTGGACTTGGGCGCTGTCCCTCAGCTCTTCAGCTCAAGGCGAGTGCTCTACTACTTGAGCCACAGCACCACTTGCGGTTTTCTCGTGGTTTATTGGAGATAAGAGTTTCATAGACTTTCCTGACAGGACTGGCTTTGAACCGAGATCCTCAGATCTCAGCCTCCTGAGTAGCTAGGATTACAGGCCTGAGCCACCAGCGCCCAGCATTTTTTTTTTTAGATGAGAATAACTCCTTAGTTTATTTTATAAAGAGAATATTATTCCTGTATAGCACTTTGGTTTTGTATAAATTCATAATTCATTTAGAAAGCTTTTAGTTTATTTTCTTCTGGAGTCTGGACATCTTGACAGTCTCAGAGGCTCAGAAGGTTGCCTTTAAAAAATAAATAGTTATTATAAAGGTGATGTACAGCAGGGTTACAGTTACGTAAGTCAGGTAAAGAGAATATTTCTTTTTGGACAATGTTACCTCTTCCCATGCTCTCCCAGTTTTCCCCACAAGGTTGCCTTCCCTCCCTACTCCCCTTCTTCTCTTCCTTCCTCCCTTTCTTTTCTTTTTTTCTTGTCCTGGGGCTTCAACTTACAGCCTGGACATGGTCCCTGTGCTTCTGTGCACAAGACTAAGTTATACCACTTGAGCCACAGCGTCACTTCTGGCTTTTTCTTTTTTCTTTTTTTTCTCTTTTTTTGGTTGGTCATGGGGCTTGAACTCTGGGGCTTGAGTGCTGTCCCTGCACTCTTCAGCTCAAGGGGAGTGCTGTACCAATTGAGCCACAGCGCCACTTCCGGTTTTCTAGTGGTTTATTGGAGATAAGAGTCTCAGAGACTTTCCTGCTTGGGCTGGCTTTGAACCTCGATCCTCAGATCTCTCCTGAGTAGCTAGGATTACAGGCCTGAGCCATCATTGCGCCTGGCATTTCTGGCTTTTTCTTAGTAGTTTATTGGAAATAGGAATCTCAAGGACTTTCCTGTCTGGGCTGAGTTTGAACCTTGATCCTCATATCTCAGCCTCCAGAGTAGCTAGGATAACAGGTATGAGCCACCAGCGTCTGCATAAGGTTTTCTTTTTTTAAAACCTCATCCCTAGACTATAGGATTTCAGGTAGTTGAGATGCCCAGTAGGCTAATCCTTCTTAGCCCCTCCCTGCCTAAAGTGCTTTTGGAGTTGAACTAGACTTGGATTGCCTTGTGGGAGCTTGTTAAAACCTAATTTGGTAAAATTTAGTAAACTATTTTGCCATTTACGATGTCACAGAGGCTGTTTCTTTATCTCATACTTCTGTATCAGAGATTTTAATATTTTATCAGTTAAAAATTGAGTTGTGTATTACATAGGATTCTTTTTCTACTTTGGTGAAATGTAGGTTTCACCTCTATGTGTGACCCTCAGTGTATTCATTTTGGCTCATCTAAAGAGTCATCTGCAGGCTTGTCACAGTGAAGTATATTTTTAGCTCTTTTTCCAAGATAGCTTAGGCCACCTTGAAAACCTACCCAAGTACATTTGGTTATGAAAAGATAGTAGGCCAAAAGCCAGGAGTTCCTGGTGAGAAAAGGATTAGCTTTTTATATTTGGAAGATTGTATTTGGAGACTGTTGTTGCAGAATAAGTTGCTTCTTCAGTGTGTATCTGTATTTAATATAAAAGTAATTGACCAGTGTATTTTGCTATATTTTATTGCCTGTTTGCAGGATATAAGAAGTGAGCTCTGGGTTTGTGAAATTCAGTTGTGCTATGGTGTTGTGATTAAAACAATGACATCTGGTTGTAACATTCTCATCCTAAACATAAATATATATATATATATATATAAATATAAAATATGAGGCATTTGCTCATACTGTCTTGTCTAGGTTTCTTAAACAGTTTACAGAATTTTTATATTTCACAGTGAAGCATATAACTAATCTTCAGTTAATAAGTTTTGGTGCTAAGAATTGAATTTGTAATTTGACTGTTCTACTTAAGGTGCCCCTTTCCCCTTCAGCTCTAACTGTTGAGGTATTTTGGTGATGCAGGACATGGTATGTGTCCACTGAAAAGAGAGGCTCTAGGTTCCTCTATTGCCACCAAATCAGAGTTTTTCTCCTTTGTGCCTTTTACACATTTAGTTCCTAAGAGATGTCTGAGGAAAGAGTGTTAGTCAAACAGAAAAAAGATGAACACTTATTTTATGCCTGAGGGTGAGAGAGAGAGAGAGAGAGAGTGTGTGTGTGTGTGTGTGTGTTGCTCGGGCTTGAACTCAGGGCCTGGGCATTATCTCAAGGACCTGAGTGCTGCCCCCTGAACTTTTTGTTCAAGGTTAATGCTCTACCACTGAGCTACAGCCACAGCTCCACAGAGCTCTAGCTTTTTAGTGATTAATTAATTAGAGATAAGAATCTCAGGGACTTTCCTGCCCACATTGGCTTCAAACTTCAGTGCTCAGGTCTCAGCCTGCTGTGTAGCCAGGATTATAGACGAGAGCCATGGACACTTCCTTATTTATTTATTTATTTAGTTTTGTGGGTGATGGGGCTTGAACTCCGGGCTTGGGCGCTGTCCCTGTGCTCTTCAGCTCAAGGCCAGCGCTCTACTGCATGAGCCACAGAGCCACTTCTGGTTTTCTAGTGGTTTATTGGAGAAAAGAGTCTCACGGACTTATCTGCCCGGGCTGGCTTTGAACCGTGATCCTCAGATCTCAGCCTCATGAGTAGCTAGGATTACAGGTGAGAGCCACTGGTGCCCGGCTCTATTTATTTGTTTTTAGTGCTGGTACTGGCACTTGAATTCAGTGCTTGACACTTCTGCTAAGCTTTTTGGCTTGTTTTCCACTCACAGCTGGCACTGTGTTCCTTGAGCCACTTTCAGTACCAGACTAAAAAACTCTTTAAAAAGGGGCTGGGAATGTGGCTTAGTGATAGAGTGCTTGGCTAGTAGGCATGAAGCCCTGGGTTCAATTCCTCAGAAAAAGCTGGAAGTGGCACTGTGGCTCAAGTGGTAGAGTGCTAGCCTTGAGCAAAAGAAGTTCAGGGACTGGCAAAACAAAACAAACAAACAAAAAACAACCCAAACCCAACAAAACCAAATAAACCCCAAACCTCTTTAAGTTATACAAATAATACATTTCGAAATCAGCACCTCTACCGCCCCGCCCCTCCCCGGCCATCAACAAAACCTCCACATTGGCTTTTCAAAAGCCTTTTACCTGGAACAAACGCAGGTATACAGATAAAGGAAGTACCCCAGGTGGCTTGAATATGTATCATCCCTCTAAATATTTTAGCCTTCAGTGTAATTCACTTGCCCAGAGAGCTGCAGAGCATCGATGAAAAAAACTAGCTTCTTAAATTTTTGCCACTGCCAGCTAACTCTAGAGGAATTAGTGAATCTATCTTTTGTTCAGATTCCTTATCTCATCAGTATTGGCTGGGTGACCTCACATTTGCTAACTTCCATGCTTTGAGCTGACAGGCAGAGCTAGTCCTTGTCAATAACTTCTACAGCAGGAGTGAAAAAAACGTGATATGCCTTTTTTTTTCTGGTTGTGGGGCTTGAAATCTGGGCCTGAGTGCTCCTCAGCTCTTCAGCTCAAGGCTAGTGCTCTACCACTTGAGCCACAGTGCCACTTCCGGTTTTCCCGAGGTTTATTGGAGATAAGAGTTTCATGGAATTTCCTGCCCAGCCTGGCTTTGAACCCTGATCCTCAGATCTCAGCCTCTTGCGTAGCTCGGATTACAGGCATGAGCCACCAGTTCCCGGCTGTGTTATGCCTATTATCTCACCTATTACCTAGTAACACACAAAATTGAAGTTATTTTTCTGAGCCATACATACCACTTTTCTAAATTTTTGTTTATGTTGTTGGGATTTTTTATTGTATGTTTTTTTATTGTAAAAATACTGTACAGAGAGGTTACAGTTATATGAGAAAGGTAATGAGTACATTTCCTATTGAGCATTGTTAAAAATTTTTTTATAAACCTAATTGGGGCCAGGTGCTAGTGGCTCAGCCTGTAATCCTAGCTACTCAGGAGGCTGAGATCTGAGGATCACAGTTCAAAGCCTGCCCAGGCAGGAAAGTTTGTGAGACTCTTATCTCCAATAAATCACTAGCAAACCGGAAGTGGTGCTGTGGCTTAAGTGGTAAAGCACTGGCCTTGAGCTGAAGAGAGCAGGGACAGTGCCCAAGCCCAGAGTTCAAGCCCCACGATCGACAAAGCAAAACTAAACCTAATTGGGTAAATAATTTGATTAAAATAGGAAATTGGGTTTAGTTGATATACTGAATTTTGTTTTCTTTTGATTTTGCTCTTTCATCCTAACTGTATATGAATTTTAAAATATGTATGGATAGAAAGGCTTTGTTATGGGAATTTTACATTTTTATAATGTAATTAAGATTTATATATATATAGATTCTATACTTTATTTTTCATAATATTTAGCATTCCCTATCCTATAAATAAAATATTGCTGTCTTAGTTACAGGCACAAATTATTGCCACTTTAGAACAAAAATATACAATTGTGCTTTAGAATGTGAATACTTGGTAGTGTTTTTTGTTATTGTTGTTTGCTTTTGTCAGCCACAGGGCTTGTACTCAGTGTTTAGGCACTGTCTATGATCCTTCAGCTGTTTTACTCAAGGTTAGTACTCTGCTGTTTTAAGCCAAAGCTCCACTTCCATTTCCTGGAGGTAAGAGTCTCACCGACTTTTCTGCTCTAGCTGGCTTTGTACTGAGATCCTCAGATCGCAGCCTCCTGAGTAGCTAGGAGTAAAGGTGTCAGCTACCAGCACTCTGCAAGGTATCTGTTTTCATTTTGGTCAGTCTATAAATTAACATTTAAGTGTTCTCTTGTAGTGTTTTGTTTTGTTGTTGTTGGTTTTTTTTTTTTTTTTTGGTTGGTCATGGGGCTTGAATTCTGGGCCTGGGCACTGTCCCTGCACTCTTCAGCTCAAGGCGAGCACTCTAACTCTTGAGCCACAGTGCCACTTCTGGTTTTCTAGTGGTTTATTGGAGATCAGAGTCTCATGGACTTTTCTGCCCGGGCTGGCTTTGAACCCTGATCCTCAAATCTCAGCCTCCTGAGTAGGATTACAGGCATGAGCTACCGGCACCCAGCTTCTTGTACTGTTTTTAATGGGGCTTGACAAAGGGACTCTGATAGTCATGTAAAAGAGGAAATGTGTTACATATAAAATGTGAAGATTTTGAAAGTAGAAGCAACAGAGTAGTAAAGAGAAACTTGCCCTACTGGATATAAATGCTATCATAATTTAAAAAAGGACATAGCACAGGAAAAGACAAATTAGTTAAGAATTGTGGATGAGTCCCCTGGCACTGGTGGATCTTGTCTGTAATCCTAGCTACTCAGGAGGCTAAGATCTGAGGATCACAGTTCAAAGCCAGCTGTGGAAGTAAAGTCCAAGAGACTTTTATCTCCAATTAAGCACCAAAAAAGTCAGAAGTGGAGCTGTGGCTCAAGTGGTAGAGCACTATCCTTGAGCAAAAGAAGTCAGGGACAGTGCCCAGAACCTGAGTTCAGTCCCCAGGACCAGCACCCCTCCCAAAAAATGGATGAATATGAACATATTTTATAATAAAAATGGCTTTTCCTTTTATCCTAGTTCCTCAGGAGGCTCAGATCTGAGGTTATGATTTGAAGCTCACTAGGGCAGGAAAGTCTGTGAAACTTATCTCTAATTAATCACCAAAAAAGTTGGAAGTGGTGCTGTGTTAAGAGTACTAACCTTGGGCAGAAAAAGCTCAAGACAACTCCAGGTCCTGCTTGAGTTCAAGACCCAGGATCAGCAACCCCCTTCCCCGCTCCCCTTCTCCCCCAAAAAAGGCATTTATGCCAGGTACCAGGTGACTAAGGCCTGTAATCCTAGTTACTCAGGAGACTGAGATCTGAAGATCAAGATTTGAAGTTAGCCCAAGCAGATAAATCCAAGACATTCTTACATTCTTTTTTTTTTTGGTCAGTCGTGGTGCCGTCCTTCAGCTCTTCAGCTCAAGGCTAGCGCTCTACCACTTTGAGCTACAGCACTACTTCCAGCTTTTACTGCTTATATCGTGCTGAGGAATTGAACCCAAGGCCTCATGCGTGCAAGGCAAGCACTCTACTACTGAGTCACCTTCCCAGCCCCACTCTTACATTCTTATCTCCTGTTAAAAATCAGTAAAAAGCTGTAAGTAGTAGATGCCAGCTGTATGCAGAAAAAGCCCAATGAGAATTTGAGTAACTGAGTTTCAGCCCAATTACAAAACAACAACAGCAACAACAATAACAACAACAAAAACCCACCAAAAAACCAAACTGAATTAAGCAAACAACAAACCCAAGTGGCTATTAATTTTTTATTTTTATTTTATTTATTTATTTATTTATTTTTTTGGTCTGGTCGTGGGGCTTGAACTCTGGGCTTGGGCGCTGTCCCTCAGCTCTTCAGCTCAATGCTAGCACTCTACTACTTGAGCCACAGCACCACTTTCGTCCAGGGCCTCATGCATGCAAGGCAAGCACTCTACCACTGAGCCACCTTCTCTGCCTTGGCTATTAATTTTTTTTTTTAATTTCTGGTCATGGGGCCTGAACTCTGGGCCTGGGCGTTTGTTCCTCAGCTCTTCAGCTCAAGGCTAGTGCTCTACCACTTGAGCCACAGCACCACTTCCGGCTTTTTTCTTTTTTGCTTATGTGGTGCTGAGGAATCGAAC